ATGCCGACGACCTTCTCCAGGTTGACGAACTGGTCAACGGCGAAGGGCGTCCCTAACATGGGCACGCCGTGGTACGAGGCCTCTTGCACACTGAGGCCCCCGCAATGCGAGACGAAGAGGCGTAGTTTAGGATGGGCTGCGGGAGATTCGGATGCCAATTATCATCATATTATGGACCCGAAAAATAAGAAGCTCACTCTTATCAGTTTATCGCTCAGTGTTGTCAAGCACAGTACATTTTTAGTCACAAAATGCCGCTCTCTGCCCTCTGGTAGAGACAGTCTTTGGGACTGCCAAAAAAAAAATCGATTCCCATTACCCACCCATTTTTATTGGAGACAAAGATAATTGTATCGTTGCATCGTTGCCATACAGGAAAGCATTCTGATAAAGCTGAAATGCAGGGAACGAGAACACGGAAGCCACCATGAGCGATTTCTTCCGTTCCCACCTTATTCTGCGTTTCGGAATGATTACTGTGAGAGGAGAGAGCGCCTGGCGATACCCACCTCTGGCAACTAACAGTTAGAGACACATAGTCCTACCTTTAACTCATGTCGTGTGACTCACCGAGCAGGTCGTTCTGTGGCGCCCATGCCTCAACCCTCACGTTAGCGGCCACCGGCTCCTCGCCCACCGCGTCCGGCTCGATCTTCCACAGCACCCTGACGGGTGCCAGGGCTGCAAAGCTGTGCACGAGCGCGCGCTTCTTGACGAGATCAATATCCTTCCCTTTTATAATAGATCCGAACGACACGAATAAGAAGCCGTCTTCCGCTTCGTCCATCCACTTGCGCAGGTCCTGCAAATATCGGTCAGCGTGATTGTCAGAACTACGATCGGGGTAGGATTAGAAATACAGCAATGCAGGAATACTCGTCTGCAAGTGAAGTGTGTGCGTAGCGCGACCTTATCGGCTATCGAGTCCTTCACGCGCAACAGGTGTTGCGGCACCTGTGCAAGTGGACTCACCGACGGGATCCTGCCCAGGTCGGCGGGTTTGACGTGCATGCCGCCGGCGGGGATGAGGCTCTGCGGCAAGGGTCTGGCCGCCTCCAGGACGGGGTTTTCGTTAACGAGGGCGACGTGAACGTGCTGCCTCAGTTGTTCCACTCTCGGAGCTTTGTCGCCGAAGAACCTTTTGATGAGGCTGTCCTGCACGGGCCGCCGCCACCAGACCGTCAACTTGTAGTGCGCGTGGAGAAAGAGGGTCCAGGTGCGCTGCCACAAGTTCATGGGGTGCGGGAAGGGCTGCATGGTGTGCGCCAGGATCGACGGCACCTGCGGGTTGTACATCAGGTCGTCGATCCACG